GTTGACCTTGGGTTAGAACACAACAAGCATCTTCAGAGCATCAATATCAATTCCAACATGTCGTCCCCTGTCATCACAGTTTTTAAGGCTAAAGTCACCTGTACAAAATTTGCTGAACCATCGTTGGCACTTACAAAAAGTTCAAAACATTTCCATAAACTTCTTTGATATTCTTTGTGGCTATACAGGCATTGTTTCCCTTCTTGTATTCAAACAGCAGTACATGCCAAATGTGCATCTCATTGTGTTGCATCACTATAAAGGATTAGAGTATACTAAACTTTACACATTATATAGGCTACACTAATGTAATGTTTAGGTGGTTCATTTAACTATTATACCCGAAATACATTTTTGGGGGGGGATAATGAAAGCATTCCAAAATGCGACATTACTCTCTTGACGACCTAATACTAAACCACTTAAAGATAAGATAAATTCAAATTAACAACACACACATATATGCCATTAGACAAATCACTTCATACAGTAATAGCTCTAACATAATGGTAATTTAACAAAAAACCATCCAGATTTGAACTTCCTAAACTTATACTATTAGCCAAATCTGTACTTTCAGCTTCTTTATTCTAAAATTATAACATACCTAGTCATTTAAACTCCTGTTTTTTAAACACAAATCACTTATGCAGTTTTCTATGCTCCAGTAAAAACAAGTTAACATGCCTTTCTTCATAGCACTAACTTCTTTAAAAGACTATCATTCTAATAACTTTTCATACATGCCTTTTCTTATGCATAAATATCTTTCTTAAAATTATGGTTGAAAAAGAACTGATTTGAACTATTTTAAATTTTGTTGGATATAGGAATATGAAAAGTTGTATCAAAGTTGGATTCTTTTTTCACAGATGAGAGATTGTGACTTCAAAGAGTTGGATTTCCTTCTCTCACCTTGCTTTTCATTCTCTTACTTCAGAAAACTTAAGTTTCTCTAACAAGAAAACTAAGTTCATTCATAAAATCAATGCTCCATGTGCAACACTCTACACTTTTCATTATTGTAACTAGAACTTATAGTTCCTTCCCACTCACTAAGACTATCCAGATCAATCTGCATTAAGGAAAACTTGCTTTCTCAGCAATATCAGCCAATTATCCCTCCACTTATCAAAACAACCAGTTAGAGCAGCAAGATGAAAAGTACAGTAAATATAGTCCATTTCATAAATGTACTTAACCAATGAATATCTGAAAGAATTCCAACTAACAGTACAATTTATTTCTTCATTGGTGTGGCAAATCTGTGGAACAAATTACCATCCAGAGTGGTAGGAGTTCCAACTTTACAGTAGTTTATGAAAGAAATTAGTGAACATTTTGAGGTATAAAGACAGGATTTATTGATTAGTTTTCTGTTTGTAGGAAATATGTAACAAAAAAGCCCTTTGGTGTACTATAATTTATTATTCCACTACTCTATAACTGAAACATTTCTTTGCTAAAGAACAATGTAAGACTGAGTCTAGGGTTCCAGACCATATAATTACTACTCATAATATATAGATACGAATTTCCAAATATTTCATTTTATCCACTAAAATAGACCACAGCAAATTATCAAAGTCCCAAACAATTTTCAACACCACCACTACCAAAAGAAATTTATAGAGAACAGATGTGAATTTTTAAGTCTTAACTACTTTAACTCAGGCAAATATCATTGCAGTAATTCTTTTCTGAACCCTCTCCAGCATGTTGATATCCTTCCTATAGTTAGGGAATCAAAACTGCACACAGTACATGTGCTCAAAACAAGACCTCAGCATAGTCTTATAGAAAGCTACAATATTATTCTTTAGCCTAAAGTTATTATTTTCCTATACTGAAAATATATTTCTGATAGGTACTTACCTCCTCTCACATGTATAGCTATTCTCGTTCAGTGCTGTCCTCTATATGCAAATATTTTTTCGAATGACACAAGCATTGAGAATTCCCACATACCAATGTGGTTCACTGCATTTCACAGGTAAATCATCATGTGACAACCAACAAGCGTGCGACACACCCTCCTGATGCATGTTATTCCCTTTATTTGATTCTACCAAACTATCACTTCAAAATTAGCCAGAAAAGGAAGCACCAGTTTTTAGTGGGGAGGAAGGGAGGTAAGTACCTATTGGAAATATATGTTCAGTATAGGAAAATAATAACTTCCATCATGGTACTTTACCTCTCCTCCTATGTATAACTAGAATCCAACATTAAATTGACAAAAGGGACTGGTGCGAAGGATAAAAAGAAGTATCCTTCAAAAGCATCGAAAAACACCCATGAAGTCTAATCCCAGTTAGGAGAGGAACACACATTGGAGACCACACCACTTTTGCACCCAGTGTGGAAATATACGTCACATACACTGGCAAAAAGTAGAAGGAGCAAAACCAAAAAAGAGAGAAAAACTGGGTGGATTTGAACCCGAACCACAATATACCAGAATCTCAATCTCAGTGAAGAAATACTGTAGAAGAACCATCTACAAACAGGAATGTGGGGAAAGCTAAATGGATGCCCCAAGGTGTAGAGTGGTCAGGGTGCAATGGGTCATATGTGGCTAGTCAACTCCAGTCCAAAACCAAGCAGCATCAGGAACACAACTTCCAACCCAAGGTCCACACCAACTCAATGAGAGTGACCCCATTGCCAACATCTGCCTCAGGTAGTGAAAACTTTCTGAGGTGGAGTACGAAGGAGAGAACCTTCCCCCAAACAGTATGATCCTCAAGATAGTACTGCACAGAAACTAGAGTGCATGTGCAGGCACAATCAACCTCGATGATCCACTGCACAGAGGTGGAGATGATGAGGCAAAAGTACTAAACTGAGTTATGATGAGGAAAACACAACCAATATGTGTGAGGATTTATGTTGATTTGTCCAACTCTAATGCAAAACCACTCACTGGGAACCGACATCCAGGTAATGGTAGGACAAAGATCCCCAATCGGAGGGGTGAACTGCAATGTGACAGAGTTACTCGAAATCTACATCATCCTCTAGATAGGACTGCACAAAAGCTGGAGTGCAACATCAATCTCTGGGTCCCATTGTACAGAAATGGATCACTACTGTAAAAGATGTATAATCTCACCCTCCAGGTAGAACCATACAGAAGCTGGGTGTAACAAAAACCTCCAGGACCCACTGCACAGAAGCGGAATGTCTTTTTGTGAAATATGCACATCATCATCCCCTAGATAGGACCACACAGAAGTTGGAGTGTAATGCCAACCTCTGGGTCCCACTGCACAGAAGTGGATTGCCTCTAGAAAGGAAATACAACCTCACCCTCAGGATAGACCTACAAAGAAGCTGAGTGCAACATCAACCTCAAGGACCCACCACACAGAGGTGGAGCACATGATTGGAAGATCAAATGGCATCAACACCAACTGAACACAACCACCCTACTCTCTACTGAAAGGAAGAGATCACATTCAAGAGGACTCCTTCATGGTCCTCCACCCCAATGTTTCAGAACTGGAAAGTGACAAGGAACCCCATACTTGATTAGAAGAACAAGGGTGGAACAAAATGCAGTGGAAAGTTTGGAGGAATGCCAACACCAAAGACAACAGGTGACCATAAAAACCTTATTTTGAAAAGCAGAGTGCCCTTGATTTATTCAATTGAAGAGATGGCAAGGATGGGCAGCTATTCCCTTCAGCTTTACCCATCTAAGTCCATGGGTTAGTACAGTTCGTTTATGAAGCAAATATATCATGAGGAAAACCTACTAGCAATCCTGTGGAACACCCCATCTCAGCAATGTGCATTATTGGCTATGGGTTTACATATTGGCTGTACTGTATTGGTGTGAGAAATAGATAGCATATCTGGACAGGCAATGCTCGCCACTGAGGAGGATCCTAAATCTAAATGAGACATGCCACTGTATGAAAGAAAAATATACAGAAAGGATAACTTACGAAGTTA